GGGAGGGCTGGGGCGGGGAGGTTGGGGGCCACCCGAGGTGAAGTGGGAGGGGCGGGGCCAGGTGAGCGGGCGGGGCCGAGTGCAGGTGACCCTGCAGTGTAGTGGGTTGCAGCACCTGCTGGTTTGGTAGATGGTCTGGGATGTGGGGAATCTGAGAAGTGATGGGAAGAGACACAGATTCCCTTTCCCCGCAGCGCTGCACCGCCACCCCCAGGAGGGGACAGATGTGGAGGCCGAGTCAGGTGAGCTGGGCCGGCTGCGGGCCGAGCTGGCAGGCGCCCTGTCAGAGATGGAGACCATGAAGGCAGTGGCGGAGGTGAGCGAGAGCACGAAGGCGGAGGCTGTGGCTGCAGTGCAGCGACAGTGCCAAGAGGAGGTGGCTTCACTGCAGGCCATCCTGAAAGGTGAGGGACCTACCCAAGACTGCCCGTCAGCCCTTCAGGGGAGCCCAGGACAGGATAGACATCAGATAGCGGTGGGGTGGGTAGCGGGGCTGCCCATACCTAGAGTTGGGGGGCCCTTTCCTAATTTGCATAGAGCCCCACATGTGCCGGCAGCAGCTCTGACAATCACAGCTAAGTTTAGCTCCCGCCCTCTCTCTGTTTCCTTGCCCTCTGACATTTCTCATTTCTCACTGATGACCGACCAACCCTGAAGGTGAACAAGAAACTTCTCAGTTCCCCAAAGCAGCCTCGTTTTAGTCTGGACCTCTGGGCTTGGGCACAGCCCAGGAGCCTAATCTGGTTTCCTTCCTTCCTTCCGGCCCCACGCCCTGCCCCACCCTGGGATGCCCCCAGCGCTCACCCTCACCGCCGTCCTATGCCTCTGGAGAGCTCTAGCTCCCTGGGCTCGGGATCTGGCTTCTTTTCCGGTTTCCGATCCCCTTCTGTGTCAGGGGCCAGAGTCTCCCAAACAGATGGCGAACTCCGGCGCACACTCGAGTTCCCCTGCTACAGCGGGGCTCAGACCACGCTCACCTGGACCCCACCCTGAGCCCTGTGGTTTGGCCTGGACAGACTTCCAGAGTAAACTGCTGAAAGTTCCCTTCCAATCATGCCTTTCCCTTTCGAACTGCCGCAGGCTCCAGGCTCTCTGGGGCTGTTTCCCACATCTCAGACGTCCGCATACCTCTGTGACAGCTGTGTCTCTGTACAACTTACCCTATAAAAAAGCACTTTAAAAAGTCCCCTTTCCACTCAGCATCATCTCCACCTGCCATTGTTCTATGGGATAAATTCCCAACCACAAAGTGGGGTGTTCAAGGCCCGAGGGGGCACACAGTGCCACCTTCTCCCCCTTCCCAGCATCTGTCCTCATGACGCCTTTGTTCAGGCTCTCGTGGCAGCATTGTGCCCAGCACACCAGCCTCTTCCTCACTTCTGAGCCTCTGCTCGTGCTGGTCCGGTTGCCTCATGAGTGTTTTCCCTTCCTTGGGGATCCTGGACCCCGGAGTGGTCCTGGCCTGCAGCTCCTCCCACACTGCACCCTGTTGTCATTGCTGCCTTCCCCGCGGACAGTGGCCTTGTCTCTGGACAGTCCCTGCATTTCCCGAACCTAGAGTTGGTGCTCATTACCGTTAATAAACTTGGTTGATAGCAGTGTATATGAGTGGAAAGGGCGAGCCTTGGGGTTTAGTGTGGAGTAATTGGCCACTTGTCTTCATGCATCAGATTCTCCAGATAATCCCATCGAGTCTTCCTCTGAACGGTTTCTTCTGTAAAAGTCACAGAGAAAGTGACTATGGCTGTAAAAGGAATTTTGGACCATGCTTTGGTCCATGTCTACTATCTGTCTGTCTCCCTCTCCCTTTTCCTCTCATTCCCTGTCTCTCCCTCCTTACAGTGTCTGTATCTGTCTTTCTGTCATTCTTGTGTGGTGGTGGGATTAAATCCCAGGTAGTGCTGAGCTCCATCCTCAACCCTTTTATTATTTTGAGTCCAGGTCTTGCTATGTAGTTCAGGCTGGCATGAACTCATGGCAGCCCTCCTGCCTCAGCCTCTTGAGTGCCAGGGTCGCAGGTGTGCCATCTCACCTGGCTAGAGGTCTACAGTTTCTATCATGAAGTGCGCTGGCATTACATCCGATACCATTTGCTTTTCCAGGTTATTATGTGCTAGTCTGGTCCTGTTTTAGCCACAAAATCAAGTGTCACTGTGGCTGTTCTCCAGAGGGGGGAAAGGGCTTTTGGCATCCTAGATGCAACCCTTGGCCAAGTGCCCGTACTTGGAAATTGTTGGTAATTTGACACTCTGACCAGACTTTCCCTCTTGACTTGCAAGTCGTACTTCACGCTGCTCCTGCCATTTGCTGGCTCACACGTCGTCCCTCAGAGCATTCGACCTCTTCCTGGCATTCACCGTCGTGATCCCAGCTTCTGTGTCGGGTGTCCCCTTAGCAATATGTGGGACTTGTATTTGGCTGAGTTCCTGTGGTGTGATTAATTTGGCAACTGTTTTCAATTCCCTTTCAGTGTATGTAGGGGAACAATTTTCCTACTAACTAAAATGTTCTAAGCCAGGCTTGTGCACACCTATAATACCAGCTACTCAGGAGGCTGAGGCAGGAGAGTCACAAGAACAAGACCAGAATGGGCAACTTAGCAAGACTTTGTCTAAAATATTAATTAATTAATTAATGTTTTGATGACACTAATAGTTAATGTTTTGACTTTTAGTTTTAGTGTGCTTTAGTATAAATATCCAGGGGCCAATTCTTCAGTTGAGTGCATCTTAGAGGCAGAGTGTCCGGTTGGGCCTTCTCATGTGCGAGGAGGGGCTGAGCACCTCTCACTTTGTCCAGTGACCACACGGGGGTCAGTAGCTCCGGTGTCCCAGCTGCAGCGGGGCTTCGTGAATAGAGCCCCACGGTGCCCTCCCAGAGCCCTGCGCACAGACAGCACACACAGCCCACCCCTCCTGCCCTTCCCGCCCCCAGACTCTATCAGCAGCTACGAGGCCCAGATCTCAGCCCTGCAGCAGGAGCGGCAGCAGCGGCAGCAGGACCATGAAGAGAAGGAGCGAGAGCTGAGCCGCCTGCAGCAGCTCCTGGCCCAGGCCCAGCCCCGGGACTCCCTGGAGAAGGAGATGGAAAAGGTAGGGGTCACTTGGAGTGGTGTTGTGGATCTCTGGCGGCCTGTTTGCAGCCACAGAGTGCAGGGTGCCAAGCCACCCATGCGCTTGGCAAGGTCCCCAAGCAGCCCCTGCTGCGGGGCTGGGTGACTGCATTCATTTCAGCCCACAAGCAAGGTGAGCTATGTGGGAGAACCGCATTCTGCTCTAATGCGCAAGGCACTGTGCTGAGTGCTTGCTGGACCCCACACCCCGCCTCTGCCCTGTGTGGCTGAGCTAGCAGGGTGCTGAACAGACGGTATGGTGAGACTTAGACTCTCTGCCTGTGTGCCGGGTGTGGAGATGCACGCCTGTAATCCCAGCACTCAAGAGGCTGAGCTGGAAGGCAGTGGTGATGGACGTAGTGACCAGCCACTTCCACCTTGAGCACCTTGTGGTTGGCAGGGCGTCCTGCTGTCCCTGGAGCTGGGGGCAGGAAGAACAGGGTCCGTGAGGAGGTTCCGTTCTGGCTGTGTTAGGCTAGAGGAGCCAGGTGGAGGTGTCTCCAGAGGCTGGTGGCTGCACAAGTTGAGCAGGGTCTCAAGCCCGGAATGAGGGAAACAGCCAGCCTCGTGGGTCAGATAGGAGCGTGGAAGGACACACCAGTCCAGATGAGATTTGGCTGCACGTGACTGAAAACCCAAATTAGCAGTGGGTTAAATATGATGAAAATTTGCTTTTCTTAATGTCAGCACTGGTACAGCAGCTTAAGAAGTCATTAGGGGGCTGGAGGTTTAGCTCAGTGGTTCCACCGCCTGTCTTGCAAGCACAAGGACCCAAGTTTGATCCCCAGTACCAAAAAAAAAAAAAAAAAAAAAAAAAAAAAAAGAAGTCATTAGGAATTCAGGTTACTCCTGCATTGCTGGTTTGCCATAGGTAGCAGATTGCATCATGGTCTAAGATGACTGCTTGAGTGCCAGCCATCACATCCACATTCCAGCCAGCAAGAGGGAGTAAAGAAAGGCACACCCTCTTCCTTTATGGAGTTATCCTGGAGGTTCACACGTGGCACGTGTGTTTATGGAACTGAGTTATATAATCCTGTCTAGTTGCAGGGAAGCTGAGAAATGTAAATGACGTAGAATTTAGGCTATGTCGGGGCTGAAGATTTAGCTCAGTGGCACCCTGCCTGCCTCATAAGTGCAAGGTTCTGAGTTCGATCCCCCCATGATCAAAAGCACAGATGTCAGGGAAGAAAGATTAAGTGGGGCCTCCGTAAGAGAGCTGTGACCTGGACCCCTCGCCTTCCTGCTTCCTCCCTGGTGCTGTGTCCTCCAGTGCCACCTCCAGGAGTAGGGAGAGCCCTGGGATGCTCACTGCCCGCCTCCTTCCAGGCCCACGAGGACGCGCAGAAGCTGCGGGAGATTGTGCTGCCCATGGAGCAGGAGATTGCAGAGCTCAAGGCCAAGCTGTTGCGGGCGGAGGCACTGATCCTGGAGATCCAGGTGAGGGGCTTGTGCTGAGGGAGGGGGAAGGGCGCAGAGCGGCAGGGCCGACTGACCCAGCCTGTCCTCCCACCCTTCCGCAGGGACGGCCTCTGCTGGGCCCCGCAGAGTCCCTGCCGCCTTCCCGGAACCCGTCTCCCCCACTGGAGTCCCTGGAGGAGCCGCGCGGGGGCCCAGCGGCCGAGGCCTTCGCCCACAACTGTGACGACAGCGCCTCCATCTCCTCCTTCTCCCTGGGCGGTGTGGGCAGCAGCGCCTCCCTGCCTCGCACCCGTCGGGGCCTGAGCCCTGAGCAGGAAGAGACGGCCTCCCTGGTGTCCACCGGGACCCTGGTCCCCGAGGGCATCTACCTGCCGCCTCCGGGTTACCAGCTGGTCCCTGACATCCAGTGGGAGCAGCTGCAGGTGGAGGTACACGGCGAGGGCAGCTGTGGGGCCTGGACCTGGAGTGAGGGCTGGGCTCAGGAGGCAGGGTTGCTCCCAGGGCCTGCTCGCTCTGGGCGGGCAGCTCACTGGGGCCTTTGGAAGGACAAGCTTGGCAGGCAGGAGAGGATGGGAGAAGCTGAGTGACCTGCTGGGACTGCAGTTTAAGCCACTCCGCACTGGGAGGCAGAGGCAGGAGGATCACAAGTGTGAGACCAGCCTGGGCAATTTAGCGACTTAGTGAAACCCTGCCTCAAATAGAAAAATAAAAAGGGTGTGGGGATGTAGCTCAGTATAGAGGCCCTGGGTTCCACCGTCAGTACTGCCACCAAAAGAGAGGGGCAGTGTCTAGACCAGGAGGTGGCAGCAGAGACGGAAGGAGGCAAGTGGATTTGGGCTCCCCTTGGAGGAAGGTGGGCAGCGCAGGGAAGAGAACCTGACCACAGCTGCTGGCTGAGGGTGTGCAGGTGTGGCGCAGCCAGGCCTGTAGAGCAGGGGAGCCTGGGCCACGGGCTGAGCTTGGGTCTGTGGCAGGGCCGGCAGCTGCAGAGGGACCTGGACAGCATCAGCCGGGAGCGGGACGAGCTGCAGGAGGGCCTGCGGCGGAGCAACGAGGACTGTGCCAAGCAGGTGGGTCCGGGCCTCTGCCAGGCCTGCAGGGCCCCCAGCATCCCTGACCTTACCGTGCCTGCTGTCCTCCCCCAGATGCAGGCGCTGCTGGCCCAGGTCCAGAACTCGGAGCAGCTGCTACGGACCCTGCAGGGCACCGTGAGCCAGGCCCAGGAGCGTGTGCAGGTGCAGATGGTGAGCAGAGGGAGTTGGGACCGTGGGGACCCCTGAAAAGCCAGGCGCCTGTCCTGCCCTGCTGCTCTGGCCTCTCCTGGCATCAGTACCAGAAGGGTAAAGGGTTTGGGCAGCCAGGCCAGGCCAGAGCTAACCCTAACCTCGAAACTTGGACGCGCTGTCTGTAAAGCTGACAATGGGTCATACTGTGCAGAATTGTGACAGTTGAAAGCAAGTCAAGGGCTGGGGATTTAGCTCAGTGATTCTGCTGCCTGGCTCACAAGCACAAGGTCCTGAGTTTGATTCCTGGTACCAAAAAAAAAAAAAAAAGCAAATCAGACACTTCCTGAGGCTGGGCAGGAGAGGCACATGGCAGGAGGGGGCTAGGTGTACAGCAGGAAGGAGCAGAAGGCACCAGGGGCCCGGGCCACAGCTGCCACCCTCAGCTGCCATCAGCTGCCCTGAGCCCTGGTGCCCAGGAACACTGGCTCCACACAACCAGATGTTCTTCTTTTTTTTTTTTTTTTTTGGTACTGGGGATCAAACTCGGGACCTTGTGCTTATGAGGCAAGTGGTGCCACTGGACCTGTTTTCGTTTCCTTTGAGGCAGGATCTCACCGTGTACGTGTAGCCAAGCTGGCCTGGACCGCCTAGCTGTCTTCCTTCCTCAGCTAGGGTTGCAGGTGTGTCCGCCATGCCCACTTAGATATTCTGATTTTTCAAGAGAATCCAGAAGTCACTAGACATGGTGGCGCGTGCCTATAGTCTCACCATTCAGGAGGATAGCCACAGGTTTGAAGCCAGCCTGGGCCACACAGTGAGACTTTGTCTCAGAAAACTAAAAGCAGGGCTGGGGATTTAGCTCAGTGGTTCTGCTGCCTGCTTTGCAAGCGTAAGGACCCAAGTTCGATCCCCGGTACCAAAAAAAAAACTAAAACAGAGGTCCATGTATATAGCTCATTGATGAAGTGCCTGCCTGGCAAGCATGAGGCCCTGAGTTCAATTCCTGGAACCAAACAAAACCAAAACAAAGCACCAGAACACCCACCAAAGTGCCCAGGCTCAAATGATGATGCATGTCTATTACCCCAGGTGCTTGGGAAGCTGAGGTGGCAGGACCTCAAGTTCGAGGCCAGCCTGGGCAGTTCAGGAAGATCCCATCTCAAAAAAGGAAGGACTAGAGCCAGGCGTGGTGGCGCACGCCTATAATCCCAGCACTCGGGAGACTGAGGCAGGAGGATCGCTGTAAGTTGGAGACCAGCCTGGGCTACATAGTGAGTTCCAGGTCAGTCTCAAATACATAGTGAGACCCTGTCTCAAAAAAAAAAAAAAACAAAAACAAGGAAGGGGCTGAAGATGTAGCTCAGTACTACAGCACTTGGGTAGCACTCATGTGGCCCTGGGCTCAATCCCCAGTACTACAATTAATTAAATAACTAACATTAGTTTTTTTTAAAGTATATGGACCAAATACCTAGCGTGGCTCTGACTGCCTGTGTGTGATGTGAGCCAGCGGGGAGTGTCTAGAATTGAAGGCAGCAGAGGCCCTCTTCCCTTCCCGGCAGCCTGGGCTGTGGAAGGGGGCTGGAGGCACCGCGCCCCTTCTTGCCCGTGCTACTCTCTCTCTGTGCAGGCGGAGTTGGCCACCTCCCACAAGTGCCTGCACCACGAGGTGAAGCGGCTGACGGAGGAAAACCAAGGGCTCCGAGCCGAGCAGCTGCCAGCCCTGCAGGGCCAGGAGCAGCAGGCGGGCGAGGAGGCGGCGCTGCCTGGCTCAGTGCAGGTGCGCAGGTGTGGGCCGCCCTTCCTGCCAGACAGGTGGGCTGGGGACAGAATGGGCTGCTGCGTCCGCTGCTTTCCTGTCCGACTGAGCATGGGGCTCTGCATTCCTCAGCGCCGGCCAGCAAGGAAGGGCTAACAGAATCCCTGACCCAAGGAAGCAGCAGCTTGTTTGCTGTTTTTAAGTGACACTAGAGCTTTAAGAATTAATTCGTCAGATCTGGTTCCTAACGATCTATCTTCATTGATCTGTGCATGGCCTCTGTTGATTTAATGATAACAGAACTCACTGACAAATTAATTTGTTAACAGTGTAAAGCTCACTGGGGCCCGCCCTGCCTGAGGGTGACCGCTTCTCTGGCACTGCACACTTCTTTAGCTGAGGGACCTCCTTGCTCTCTTCTCGATTGTTTTCATTCCGGACATGCTGTTCTGACTGTCATGCTCCAGGTCCCTTCTGGAGCTTTCGGAGGGTTTATCTGACAAAAACAAGGAAGGGGCTGAAGATGTAGCTCAGTACTACAGCACTTGGGTAGCACTCATGTGGCCCTGGGCTCAATCCCCAGTACTACAATTAATTAAATAACTAACATTAGTTTTTTTTAAAGTATATGGACCAAATACCTAGCGTGGCTCTGACTGCCTGTGTGTGATGTGAGCCAGCGGGGAGTGTCTAGAATTGAAGGCAGCAGAGGCCCTCTTCCCTTCCCGGCAGCCTGGGCTGTGGAAGGGGGCTGGAGGCACCGCGCCCCTTCTTGCCCGTGCTACTCTCTCTCTGTGCAGGCGGAGTTGGCCACCTCCCACAAGTGCCTGCACCACGAGGTGAAGCGGCTGACGGAGGAAAACCAAGGGCTCCGAGCCGAGCAGCTGCCAGCCCTGCAGGGCCAGGAGCAGCAGGCGGGCGAGGAGGCGGCGCTGCCTGGCTCAGTGCAGGTGCGCAGGTGTGGGCCGCCCTTCCTGCCAGACAGGTGGGCTGGGGACAGAATGGGCTGCTGCGTCCGCTGCTTTCCTGTCCGACTGAGCATGGGGCTCTGCATTCCTCAGCGCCGGCCAGCAAGGAAGGGCTAACAGAATCCCTGACCCAAGGAAGCAGCAGCTTGTTTGCTGTTTTTAAGTGACACTAGAGCTTTAAGAATTAATTCGTCAGATCTGGTTCCTAACGATCTATCTTCATTGATCTGTGCATGGACTGCCAGCCCCAGGGCCAGGAGCAGCAGGCGGGCGAGGAGGCGGCGCTGCCTGGCTCAGTGCAGGTGCGCAGGTGTGGGCCGCCCTTCCTGCCAGACAGGTGGGCTGGGGACAGAATGGGCTGCTGCGTCCGCTGCTTTCCTGTCCGACTGAGCATGGGGCTCTGCATTCCTCAGCGCCGGCCAGCAAGGAAGGGCTAACAGAATCCCTGACCCAAGGAAGCAGCAGCTTGTTTGCTGTTTTTAAGTGACACTAGAGCTTTAAGAATTAATTCGTCAGATCTGGTTCCTAACGATCTATCTTCATTGATCTGTGCATGGCCTCTGTTGATTTAATGATAACAGAACTCACTGACAAATTAATTTGTTAACAGTGTAAAGCTCACTGGGGCCCGCCCTGCCTGAGGGTGACCGCTTCTCTGGCACTGCACACTTCTTTAGCTGAGGGACCTCCTTGCTCTCTTCTCGATTGTTTTCATTCCGGACATGCTGTTCTGACTGTCATGCTCCAGGTCCCTTCTGGAGCTTTCGGAGGGTTTATCTGTCCTCCCCACCACGGCATCCAGGCTTTTCCTGTTAGCAGTGCCCGTCCCTCCCACAGCCCCTGCCCTCCTACTTCCTGTCCCATGCCCAGCGGGCAACTGCACCCTTCCAGGAGCTGCAGCAGCTGGTGCGCCGCACACGGCAGGAGGCACACGCGCGACAGCAGGCCCAGATGCACGAGGCCGAGCGCCTGCGCATCGAGATCGTGACTTTGCGGGAGGCGCTGGAGGAGGACACTGCGGCCAGGGCCAGCCTGGAGGGGCAGCTGCGCACACAGCGGGAGGAGGCAGGTGAGCAGAGTCCGGAGAGTGCGCGTCTGCTGCGCTGCTCCCAGGGCACGGGGATAGCTGTGGCCTCTCCTTCCTCCCGCAGAGGTGCTGCAGGGTGAGTATGGGCCCACCCTGCCTGGGCCTGCCGCGGTGGGGCGTGCAGCTGAGAGGGCCTGACTTCCAGCCCCTTGCACCTGACTTCCCAGCCTCCCTGTGCAGTCTGAGGACAGAGATGGAGCGGATCCAGCAGGAACAGAGCAAGGTGAGGCGCCCAGCCCCAGCTGGGATGGTGAGGGCCTCCGTCTCCTGCCGCCACAGCTGGAAGGCCAGAGGCAGCACTGGGTGGTGGACAGGGCTGTGGGGACTTCCCATTGCTCTGGCTACACCCTGTCTGGTCCAGGCCAAACCTGTGCCAGGCTCCAGCCTGATGTCCTGTCCCACAGGCCCAGCCTACAGACCTCCTCACCGAGCAGAGGGCCAAGGTGCTGCGGCTGCAGGCTGAGCTGGAGACCAGCGAGCAGGTGCAAAGGGATTTTGTCCGGCTGTCCCAAGCCCTGCAGGTATGTGCGGCCCTACGGGCTGGCATGCTTCACATGACACTTGCCAGAGGGTGGCCCCCGGCTTCGGTCCCTCCCTCTCCTGCCCGTTAGCATCCCGTCCCCCAGGCTCTGGCTCCTGCAGGGTCAAAGCTCGTGTGTGCCTCTCGGACAGTGGCTTAGGACAGACCTGCGTGCCAGGCTGCCTGAGGGTGCTCCTGTAGCCCATTCCTGCCCTTGGCCCGATTTTCCCCATGGGTGCTGGAGGGAGATGGCCCTGGTGCCCACCTGCTGGGGTGGGGCCGCCTTTCCCCACCAGGGGCCCTCTGCATCCCCCGCGGGACCCCACAGGTGCGCCTGGAGCGGGTCCGCCAGGCAGAGACCCTGGAGCAAGTGCGCAGCATCATGGACGAGGCGCCCCTGAGGGACGTCCGGGACATCAGGGACACCTGAGGGGCCAGGCGAGAGCCCCAGCCCTTGCACCCCTGGGCAGCACCGCCATTCTCCACTGTTGATCCAGAGACGTGGGTCTGAGGATGGTGTTCTCACCCTCCAAGCCCAGTTGGAGGGGTCGGGGCCTCCACCGCCCAGCGCCTCCTCCCTGGTGGCTGGACCTTCTGCTCTCAGGGATGACACCTGGGTGAGGGTCCCAACCCCCCCAGAACCGAAGGTGCAGGCTGACCCTGTGGCTCTCTGCTGCCATGCCACACTGGCTACCCCAGGCAGGACCGAGCTGGGCGGCGGTGGCTGGAAACCTCTGCAGACATCAGGGGGTCCCTAGGCACGCCTCGCGACAGCAGCTGCTTTCTGCACTGCATGACACTATAGATGCACATGGAGGCCAGGCCAGACTTCTTCATTTATTTTCAATAAATAAGCAGCTCAGCTCAGTTGCCTCGTCCCTGCAAGCCCCACAGGGCTCGGGTAAGGGTGGTTCCAGGGTGGGGTTGCTGAGTGGGGAGGGGACAGGACCTTGTATTTATAAACAGACATGGGGTGGAGGGGAAGGGGGTCTGTGCCACAGCTCTGGCTGAAGATGCGTCACTATCAGGGTGGGAAAGAAGGAGGGGCAGAGGGCTGGTTACTTCCTTCTCTCATCTTCCGGATCTGGAGGGAGAAAGGGCCAGGATGAGGTGGGGGCAGGTGGGACATGAGATGGCCCCTTCTTCCCCACACTCACCTGTGTCCCCAGACACCCCCACCCCACCCCACAGCCCCAGCAGCAGACAGCCAGCGCCGCGCAGCGCAGCAGTTGTGCCTAGAGGTAGTACCCCCAGGGCAGGGGGATTGCACAGCGGTGCTGGCGCCCAGGCGAGGGCACGGGCTGCCCATGAAGCGCGCAGGGGCAGCAGCGGCAGTGGCCCCAGGTGGAGCTGTGAGCGAGCGCAAGTGACCAGCTGCATGGAGGGCCGGGCGGCGGGGGCAGGGCACAGCAGCTGGGGAGAGGGCAAGAAGGGGGTGATACCTGTGACACGGGTTCAAGGACATGGAGGAGGGGGACAGTTACCCTATGGCCAGAGAGGACAGAGAGAGCCGTTACCAAGGAGGAAGGCTGCCTGCAGGGCCAGGAAGGCAGAGGAGGCTGGGCTGCCCCAGGAACGTGGCTCCACCAGGCACAGCAGGGGTGGGAAGGGGCCTGGCCGCCCCTCCTGGGGACCCTGGTCCTGCCAGGGCCAGGCACGTACCCACCTGCAAAGGAAGAGGGGGCGCAGCGCAGGGAGGGCAGGGTGTGCCGGGTCGGGGGCACCTTACCCTCCAGGTAGTTCCTGGCAACAAACTTGAGGATTTCGTCTAGCCCGATGACGGGGAGGGAGATCTTGAGGACCATGAGCCACTGCGTGACGGTCAGAGCCCGCAGCTTGAAGATCATCTGGGGGTGGGGAGAGCAGCCATGAAGGGCCACTGTCCTCCCGCCCCGTGCCCAGCTGCCCCAGCACCTGCCACCCTCCCGGCAGCACTTATGTGGGGGAACAGGTGCCAGAGGGAGGCTCACCGGCAGTGGGTCGACGTAGAGGATGAGGAAGTGGAGAGACATGGACAGGCAGATGGAGCCCAGCAGCCAGATGTTTACCCAGGGCGGCATCCGCACCAGGGACTGGTTTTCAGACAGGCTGCCAAGAAGGCCGGGGCACCGAAGGAGGGGACACGAGGAGAAAGCCACGTGAGGGTAGGAGGCAGGCAGGGGGTCAGGACAAAAGCAGGAGCCTCTGCAGAGGCTGCAGGGTGCAGGCACGCGGGCCCTACCTGTTGAGAGCATTGCACATCTCGATAGTGACCAGCACGGACAAGGCCATGGTCATGGGCTCGGGGGCCTCGAAAACCTCACAGTCCACACCGTCGAACTCAAGGTTGTGCTCAGTGCACTGCATAAAGTGAGTCTGCGGAGGGAGAAACAGGGGCCTGAGATTCTGCAGACGTCTCTGTGCCACCCACCTGGCCCCCGCCTCCCCGGCCTCCTACCAGCTGGTAGTAGGAGACATGAGGTCCATCATCCGCATACAGGAACCACCAGGCAGCTGCCCCCACTGTGGCTGCACCCACGTAGCCTGTGGTGGAAAGAACATGGGAGTCGCGTCAGGGCCGGGGTGACCGGAGCCCCAGGAGGGCCTCACAGCTGGAGTCAGCAGCTCAGGAAGGGGCCGTGGGGGAGCCGTGCCCTGGGGCTACGAGGGCCACGGAGCCCCATGCTGCTCACCTCCGATGGCCATGTAGCGGAAGAAGAGCCAGCCGCTGATGAGGGGCTCCTTGGGGCTCCGCGGTGGCCGGTCCATGATGTCCAGGTCTGGTGGGTTGAAGCCCAGGGCTGTGGCTGGGAGCCCATCAGTCACCAAGTTCACCCACAGCAGCTGCACTGGGATCAGGGCCTCCGGCAGCCCCAAGGCAGCTGTCAGGAAGATGCTGCCGGAAGGAGAACCCATGTCTGTCCGGCCCGGCCTGCTCGAAACCCTCTTAGCCCGATCTCCCCAAAGGCAGCCCGGCGGCTCACCAGACCACCTCTCCCACGTTGGAGGAGATGAGGTAGCGGATGAACTGCTTCATGTTGTTGTAGATGGCACGGCCCTCCTCCACGGCAGCCACGATGGTGGAGAAGTTGTCGTCCGCCAGCACCATCTCAGAGGCCGTCTTGGCCACGGCGGTGCCAGAGCCCATGGCAATGCCTATCTCGGCCTTCTTCAGGGCAGGGGCGTCGTTGACACCATCCCCTGTCTGTGGGAGGAGGAACTCAGCTCCGGCGCCTACCTGCCTGCCCGCCCGCCCACCTGCCCGACCCCTGCCGCCCTGCACCGCTCACCATGGCCGTGATCTCATCGAAGGACTGCAGGTACTCCACGATCTTTGATTTATGCGACGGCTCCACGCGGGCGAAGCAGCAGGCGCGGCGGCAGGCGTCCCGCTGCTCAGCCAGAGGCAGGTCATCGAACTCCCGGCCGGTGTAGGCCCGGTCAGTCACCTCCTCGTCCTCCGAAAAGATGCCAATTCTCCTGCAGATGGCGATGGCCGTGCCCTTGTTGTCTCCGGTGATCATGATCACCCGGATCCCGGCGTCACGGCACAGCTGGATGGAGCCTGTGACCTCCTTGCGTGGTGGGTCCAGCATGCCCACCACGCCGACGAATGTCAGGTCCATCTGGGGAGGTGGGAAGGTATGGGGAGTGAGGGGGAGCAGGCAGAGACGTCGGGGGCTGGGGCCTGCAGCTTTGGGGCCAGGTGTTGGGCCTCAGTGCGGTGGGGAGTGTGTCTCATTCCCAGAGGGGCCTGTGGTCCTGGGGGTGCCAGGCTTGCTGCAGATGCCAGGCTGAACCTCCCACAGAAAGGCTGTGAGCTGGGAGTCACAGCAGTGGCTTCTGCTTTTGCATGTGCCATGACTGGCCCGCCTTGGAGCACATCCCTGTGGCCTGCTGGGCCATGAAGTCCCTCTATCAATGAAGGCGGTGGGCTCCTGTGCTGTTTAGTGTCCATGACAAATGGCCACCGCCTCGAGATAGTCTCGCTGTGCGAGTAACCCCAGCCGTGTCCCACTGTGTTCTGACGCATGGGCCTCGCTTCGTCACAGAGCGAGGTCCTGGTCCATCCCCAGCATCACGAGAAGTGAGACAAAGCGGCAGCAGGCCAGGTGACTCCTGAGGCTCCTTCAGACTCTGGTGTGCTGCCCTCCATGACCCTCGCTCCACGTGCACTGATGAAGTGGCACGGGCGCGGTGGAGGGAGGGCATGAGGTGAGCCCACAAACCCGCCTCCGCACGCTGCAGGGCAGCGCTCACCTCGTACTCCATGAACTTGGAAGAGTCGTCCAGGACCATCTCCTCGCGCTTGGGGGGTGTGTCGCGGGTGGCCAGGGCCAGGCAGCGCAGTGTGTCCCGGCCGGTGCCCCACTCCTTGATCACCGACATGATCTTCTCCTTCACCGGGCCCGTCAGCGGCACGCGGGTGGTGCCCACTCGCACGTAGTTACAGCGGTCGATGACCCCCTCGGGGGCACCCTAGGATGCAGAGCAGAGTTCGGACCCACGCAAGGAGGGGCCCAGGAGAGGGAGAAAGGCAATAGAGGTGCGTCCCTGTCTCTGACCTTGACGAACATCTTGTTGCCCACAGAAGCCCGGGAAGACTTGGCGGGGGTGCAGTAGACAGACATGGACTTCCTGTCCCGGGAGAACTCCAGGGTGAACTCCTTCCTCATGAGCTGGCGGATCACCTGAGGCCGGCAGACGGAAGGGTCAGGGCCCAGTCAGAAAGACTGAGGGAGAGTGGGCCACCCAGACAGGCAAGCAACACGCCTGGCACAAGCGGGACAGACGCAGAGGATTCCATTTCAAGGGCTGCCAGAGCTTAGTGTCCTCAAAACGCCACGGAGACAGCATGGCCCGTGCGGCACTGTCCCGTGGGACCCTCCATAGGGACAGAAATCTGCAACCTGCAGCAGCTGACAAGGTACAGGGAGCCCTGGAAACACAGCGGAGGTGACTGAAGGACGGCATTCTTACCTGTGTTGAATTTTAATTGACTGAAATGAAAGCATTATCAGGCAGTGCAGGCCTAGTGCCTGGCAGTAAGAGGTGCTCCAGATGGGGCGCGGTGGCACACGCCCGCGATCCAAGCACTTTGGGAGGCTGCGGCAGGTGGACTGCAGGTTTGAGCCCAGCCTGGGCAACTTAGTGGCTTAGCAAAACTCCTCAAAACTAGGCCAGGGATTTAGCTCAGTGGTTCCGCCACCCGCCTTGCAAGCACAAGGACCCAAGTTCGATCCCCGGTACCAAAAAAAAAAAATTTTTTTTAATTAAAAATCAAAGACTGGGGATGTAGCTCATTGCAAAGGCCCTGACTTTAAAAAATAAAAATTAAATTTAATTCCTAAGATGTGTTTATATACATGTATCTACTTCCCACAAGGCATGTAAACATACACTACATATACATATTAATAAACTAAAATTCATATTATCATCTGTAAATTCTAAAATAAAATTTTTTCTTTTCTTTCTTTTTTTAATGGTACCAGGGATGGAACTTAGGACCTTGCACTTGTGAGGCAGGAGGTGGAACCACTGAGCTACATCCGGCCCAAAAGATTCTTTCTCAACAGATATTTAGGGTGTTTTCTTTCTTTTTCTTTTTACTCCTCAGCCTGGAGACAGAACCCAGAGCCTGGGGCATGCGAGACAACTGAAGCCCCGGCCCATGTTATTTTTTGTTCTGGGACAGGGTCTCTCAATTGCTTGTGCTGCTCTCAAAGTTGAACCCCCTGACCTCAGCCTCTCGGATAGCTGGGGTCACAGGCGTGTGCCACCAT